GCAGGAGGATTGCTTGAGGCTGGGAGTCTGAGGTTGCTATGAACTAGGCGGATGCCACAGCGCTCCAGTCTGGTGACAGAGTCAGACTCTTGTCTCCAAAAAATCCACAAAGATAAAGAAATAAAATGACACAGGGAAAAAACAAACAAACAAACAAAAAAGAAAGACTAATCAATCCAAAAGAAAAGCAGAAAGTTGAAAAAGAGAGCTGGAGACAAAGTGGGATTTTAAAAAAAACACTGAAGAAGATGGTGGGAACCATTCCAAGTATTATAACACATGTATCAGCAATGTGACAAGTATGGGCAGACTTAGCCTGCCAGTCAGGGCGCAGCTATGAGCCACTGTCACTTAAAACTTATAGACAAGAATGGCTGAAAGTAAAAAGACGCCCCTGCAGAGAGGTCTACATTCCAGATGCCAGCCACGTGCAGTCAGAGTGGTTAGAAGGCAAAGGGGAGGCTGGGTAGTAGAAGGGGCTGAGGGTGCAGAGCATCTGAACTTAATGTGGGGACAGGCGCCTGCAAGATCCAAGTGGGCCCTATGCAACCACAGGTCCCCAAATGTGTAAGAGCAGGAGAAGGGAGGCTACAGCAGATGCAGAGGGCATGTGGTGCCAGGATGCTGGCTCTGCAGGTGGAAAGGCAGAGAGCAGGTTCTGACCTGGAACCTGCAGCAGGAGCCAGCCCTGCAACCTCTCGACTTCAGTTATGTTCCTTCGTGTTCCACAGGATATAAAAGTCACATATAGAAATCAGCTGCCTCCATACAGACAAACAGTAACCAGGTAAAATTAGCAGCGGCCAAAGACATGCAAGTGACCCAGAGCACATGAACAGACTCAGTTTTGCTAGGTCATCTTGGAATGGATGGGTTCGGACCTTCTTGGGGTATGTGGGCTCTTCCTGGAGCACCTTCCAGCATGCAGCTGCCACCTGGTGCCTTTGGTCCTTGCAGTGGGCGGCACCTTTGGCTTCTGACTTGCCTCCCTGACAGCGACTTCCTCCTAGGCGCCTCCCCGCCCCTGGCCCTCCTTCTGACCTGCAGACTGCTGGGCTCCAGGCCAAAACTCACCCAACTCTGCAGATGTCCTTGCTACCTCCAAGTTTGATTTTTTTTTTGCAGTTTTTGGCTGGGGTTGGGTTTGAACTCGCCACCTCCGGCATATGGGGCCAGCGCCCTACTCCTTTGAGCCACAGGTGCTGCCCATCCAAGTTTGATTTTGAAAGGATCCAGTGGTCAGCTCTCTGGTCCCTCCCCCCAAGGCAGAAGAGAAGGCTTCTGTGAGGTGGCTCTGCCCCCTGAGAGTCCCCCCACACCAGGGCCTGATGAAGATGTAATCAGCTCAGAAATAAGGAGGACCTAGGCTAACGTGGCCACAGTGACAGTTGCCAAAACACCAAGGTACTCGATGAGGCAGACGCCTGGGAGGGACACAGCACAGCAGGGCCAAAAGCCACCGCGCTCAGCCTCAGGAGAGGCCCAGGCCTACTTTTAATAGCTAGAGATCCTGTTAGGGGCAAGGGCAGACCACCCATGTGGCCCCTGAGCTGTTTTAGAATTGAGGTGTTTAACCAGGTGTGTAGGCTCGGGCAACATTCTGTGTCGCTCTGCCACAGGCTGGTGGCATCTTGCCCCCATCAGCGACATCCGTGGAAGATGGGCTGTGCCTGGGGGCCCAGAACACTTCCTCCCATCTCAGGCCCAGAGCTGCTTTGCGGTGCACCCCTCACCCCTGTGTCCCCAAATGCGCTGTTCTAGAACACCCTCCTTCCTGTGCTTTCAGGCACCAAGTGCCTGGGCTGCTCTCCTCAGCAGTGTAACTTCAGGCAGCGGCTGGGTTTCAGAGCACTCCCCAAGGTGATGATGGATGGCAGGATGGGACTTGGTGAGAGTCAGAGAACGGGATGGCCAAACCTTTACTCCTTTCAGGAATGCAGGTGGCCCTTGGACAGAGAGCTAGATGCAGCCTCACCCCAGCCACCAAAGGGCTGTCAGCAGGACTCTGTCTGCACCTGCTTGGGAGGCTAGAGGGCCAGGTTCTGGTGATCTGGGAGAAAAATCTCCTGAGAGCTTACAAAATAGATTCCTAGGTTCCAGTGGGCTGGAAGGCCCTGGAATGAGTATTCTCCACCCCCCTATGCTGAGGCAGGCAGCCCCCCTGGAAGGTGTGCTCTGGGGAACTGGGGCAACGGCATCCCAGAACCTACTCTTCCCTGGCAGGTGGACAGGGAAGCAAAGGCAGAGAGCAAGGGACTGGTTTCACCTGGGTAGGAAGGGAAGTGCAGGGCTGGGGCTCAGAGTGGACTAGGGCTCTCTGCCATGAGGACGCGCCTCTAGGGCCCTCGCAGGAGCAGTTCTGGGCTGAGATTCTGCCTGGGGCCACCTTGTTTCTCCCCTGCAGTCCCTGCCGGGCCAAAATCCGGAGGTCAAGCTCCTCCAGAGGTGGGTGGCCACCTCCGGAGCTGTATCCCTTGCTGCCTTTGGCTCTCTCCTGGAGGCCGCCGTCCCCAGCCCGAGGTGAGCTCACAGGGCTCCTCCCAGGAAGCAGCATCTGGAACTTGGCGGGAGGGGGTATGGGCTGCGCAGTCAGGGCGGACGGAGGGCAGGGATGGGGGGCTGCGTAGTCAGGGGAGATGGAGGGCAAGGGTGGGGGCTGCTCAGTCTGGGCGGACAGAGGGCGGTGATGGGGCGCTGGGCAACGGGGGGCAGACAGAGGGCAAGAGTAGGGGCTGTGCAGACAGGGTGGGCTGGTGCGGCTGGGACGGGACATGGCCAGTGGAGCCCACCAGCCTCTGCAGTCCTCTGGCATCCTGAAGCTCCACCTGCTGCGAGTCCTCCACCTCTGGTGGGAGGGGGCAGGGTGAGCTGGACGGGGCATTCTGAGCAGCACTCCTAGAGCCAGAAATGACATCTGCTCTGCAGCCCCCCACCCAGAGTGGCAGACATACTGCCCAAAAGCATGGCTGGCCCCAACTCCCCAGGTAGCCTGGCATGGGCTTCTGCCAGTCGGGCAGGTGGGGAGCCATGTCCAGGAGTGTGGCCAGCAGTGAGAAGGGGGTGCAGGGGCTGGAAGCCAGCAGACAGATGTGGCAGTGGCAGGTGGCCTCACCAATGGAGAGGGTGTGGGTAGAGCACCCTGCCTGCAGGGCAGCAGAGAGGCTGGACACTGTGCCTGGCAGAGGGAAGGATCTGGGGGAGAGCCAAGTGGCCCTGTGTCCCTCTCATGGACACCTACCTCCCACTGGCTCGGGTAGGGTGAGTTGCCCCTGCCTGGGTGTTGCTGAGGGGCAGACCAGGGCCGTTCAGGCCACTCTCGAGGGGAGGAGTTTCTTAGGCAGAGCAGGGCACAGGGTGGGGGCAGCTTGAGACCTGAGACAGAGGTGCTCAGGGGTGTGGCTCCGTACAAGGCGTCGTACACACAAGACTCGGTGGGCTGTGACTGTTGACCATGTATCATGATTGTGTGCTGGGTGAGACAATGGTGCCATGTGGTGTCAGGGAGATGGCATTGATGGGGCACAACCAACGTCAGAGGCTGGGCCAGGAGGGAGGTGCTCATCTAAGAGCCTGTGACTGGGAGGAGACCCTAGGGGTGCTGACCTCAGACCCTGTGATTGGTGGGAAGTCCTGGGGTACTGACCTCAGAGCCTGTGATTAGGGGGGAGCCCAGGGGTGCTGGAGGACTGACCTCAGAGCCTGTGAAGGGCAGAAAGAAAGTCCAGGGGGCTAGGGGGCCAACATGAGTCTGTGTAAGTTTGGGGGGGGGGGCTGGAGATTCAGACCTCAGAGCCTATGCTGATGAAAGGCCCAGGGATGGCCAGACCTGAAGCCTTGAACCTCTCCAGGTAAAGAGAACCAGCCACAGGGCAAGGTGTCAGAAAGGTGTTTGTGAACAGGGTACCAGGCCTCCTGGACAGAGGTGGGCCACTGCAGGGACAAGACTACAAGGTAGGTGGGGGCTGGGAGGTGCATCTCAGGATCTGGGGAAGCACAGGTGGGAGTTGTGGGGGGCAGGGGCCACTGATGTTGTCTACATGGTGAGAAAACTGGTCCAAGAGGGGTGCGTGCCAGAACCAAGTCCTGGGTTGGTGTGGGGGCTCTGGCTATGTGGGTCAGGCTGAGGTCAGTCTAGGGAATTGGTACCAGCCCAATGCTGCTGTGTGTGTGGGAGGCCAGGGGATCTCAGACCCAGATGCAGGGCTCTTGAGGAGGTTGTCCTAAAGTTGTCCTCCCAGGTGACAAGAGCTCAGCTTGGGGCCCAAGGTCCTTGCTGCTATCTCCTGGCACAACACACAGAAGGGATTATGGGATCACCTGGAAGGTAACTCCTGCCTCTATTTCACAAGTGTGGAAACTGAGGCTCACTTGAGTGCACAGTAGGTCAGTGAAGGCTACCTCGCAGGTGCCTCACCAGTTACAGGGCGCTCTGCAGGTGGGGCCAGAGGGGCTGAGGACATCTGATTCTGCCTCAGAGTCTGCAATGGCCCCTCCCATACCAGTTCCCCGGTGCTCCCCAGCCCCTTAAAAATGTTACTTGCAAGTGTTCACATAGTAATACTCTGTACTGGTCCAGATTAACAAAGAGTGTGTGGTCTTCCTTAGAGGTGGGGCCTAGCCCTCCATCTGCTGGACCAGCTCGCCAAGGCAACCTGGCCTACTTGGGACCCTCCACAGCTGACTCCCCTGGAGCCCAGGACCTCTGGGAGAGCAGGGACCCTGCCTGTCTAATGTCTAGTTAGACAAGGGTTAAGTGGGAAGGGGTGTCAGATGTGCAGGGCCCATGAGCCTGTCATCCCCGTCCTTATGGCTAGGTGGCAGGTGAACTAGCCAGTGGGCTGCAGGGCCTCAGTGTTACTCTGGGGCAGAGGAAGGCTATAGTTCAGAGTTCACCTGCATTTACCATGGGCTGCTGAGTAAAACCATTTGGAAAACATGTGGTTACTTCAACCAAAGTTGGAGACAAAACAGCAGGCTGGAGGGCACACCACCCAGGGCCATAGTGTGGTCAGCTAAGTTTACTAAAGCATCCCCTTAATCCAGTGGGGCCTGTGCAGTCCCCAGAGCCTAGTGAGGTAAAGCAGATAGGGTGGGGTGCCCTGGCCCTGCGCTGACACAGCCATCACAGGGGCCCACCAGCCCTGGCTCTAAGGAGGCAGGGTGCACCTGCTGGCACTGGGTCAGGACTTGCCCCCTCATGGCCGATGGATGCTCTGGGTTCTAGTCTCCCCCATCCCACTTCCTGTTCTCTCCCCAGCCTTAGTGATCACAGGGCTTCCCCCTCCCCGTGACACACTATCCTTGCAGTCCCTGGCGTCTGAGACTGGACAGGCCATGCCCAGGCACCAAGCAGGTGGGAGGGTGGCTGGCCAGACCAGGATGACACTTTTCTAGTGCCCCGTGGCCAAGCCAGCGCTGCCGGTTGAATCTTGGAGGGAGGCAGCAGTGAGAGGTCCAGAGCAGCAGGGCAGGGAAGTGGTTAGAACGCATACTGTGGCCTCAGACTGGCCCAAGGCCTGTCCAGCTCCTACGACCCCCAGCTGTGCGGCTCCAGCAGGGGCCTGTGTGCAAACCAGGAGCGATGATGGGTACACAGAGGGCACCTGAGGCCCTGGCTGTGTATTGGCGGGCCCCTGTGCTCAGAGAACCAGCCTGCTCCGCCGCTGTGCCCATCAAATTGAACTTCTTTATTAAGTGCCAAGGGTCCGGGCGGCGCTGCCCCCGGCAGCCCCTCTGCCAAGGCCTGTGTTTGGTAAGCTTCCCGGGCGGAGCGGCGTGCAAAGCGTGCGCAGTCTGTAGTGTGGCGCTCACTTCACATGCTCGGCGGCATGCGAGGAGCAGTAATACTTCTTGTGGGCGATGAAAGTGGACAGGCTGCTGAACTTGATGTTGCACAGACGGCAGTACCTGTGATTGCCGTTGGGCACCGGCGCCTGCGCGCTCTTGCTGGGGGTCTGGACGCCCTTGTCCGAGTGAGAGGGCGGCGGCGGCGGCGACGGGGGCGGGGGCGGGCCGGGCCGGGGGCTGCCGCTGGCCGGGCCGAGCGGCGGCTCTGGGGGCTCTGAGCCGAGGCCGTCTCGGAGGCCGCGGGGCCCGGGCTGAGGAGAGGCGGCGGGCGAGGGTGAGGGCGAGGCGGCGGCCGAGGGGCCGCGCTCGGCCGGCGTCCGGGCCTCGGCCCCCGGGCCGGCCAGAGGCGCGCCCAGCAGCAGGCCGTGAGCCAGGCCGAAGTGCTGCAGCAGGTCCCCGCGCACTGGACCGCCGGCCGGACAGTACGGGCAGGCGGCGGCGGGCAGGCCGAGCGCGCCCGACGGCGGCGCGGCAGGGCACGAGTACTTCTTGTGCGCCAGATAGGCCTCAAGGCTGTGGAAGCTCACGCGGCACGCCGTGCATTCATGATAGTCGGCCAGCGCTGGGGGCCCGGGAGCCGGCGCCTGGCGCCGCGGCTTCTTGCTGAGGTCTATGGGGCCGTCAGCGGTGGGTCCGGGCGAGCACGCAGGGGCGGGTCCGGCGCCGCTTCCGCTTCCGGGCCGCGGCGACGAAGGGGGCTCGGGAGCGGGCGGGGCGGGTCCGGCCGAGCCGGGGGGCGGGGCGCCAGCCGCGTGCAGCTCGTAAAGCTTTCGGCGCCTGCGCGTGCGCACGGGAGGGGCGGGGGGCGCGGCCGGCGCTGGTCCTGGGGGTGCGGCCGGGCGGCGCGGCGGTGGATCGTGGCGCGAGGCGCAGTAGTAGCGCTTGTGCACCGTGTAGGTCTCATGGCGGCTGAAGCGGATGTTGCACGCCTCGCACAGTGTGCGGCTGGGGTCGTCGTCCACGTCGTCCACTGAGCTGCCGGGGCTCTGGCTGCCCTCGCTGCCCCGGCCGCCCGCCCCGTCCTCCGGCGTGGCTGCACCGCCCGCGCCGTCCTCGCGCGCCCCGGGGCCCGGCGACGAGCGCGCCGGGTCGGTCTCTCCGGGAGGGCCGGGGGGCGCGCGGGTCGGGCCGGGGTTCGCCTTGGGCCTGCGCACTGAGGGCGCATCCTCGGGCGCACGGCGGCCAGAGCAGTAGAGGCGCTTGTGCACGTAGTAGTTGTTGACGTTGCTGAAGGTGATCTCGCACTCGAAGCACGTGGCGCCCTTGGGGGCCCCCGCGAAGAGGCCGGCCTGCGCGCCCCCTGCGCCCTGCTGCAGCCGGCTGTGCACCAGCTCGGACATCTTGGCCAGGATCTCTGAGGCCGGGGGCGCCACGGGGGCCGGGGGCGCCGCGCCTGCATCAGACCCAAACACGTACTGCGGCACGAAGAGGGCCCCCGCCACCCCCAGCTCCCCGGGCACTGGGCTGGAGCCAGGAGTAGGGCTGGACAACTCGGCCTTCACCCTAGCTGGGGCTGGGCTGTGGGGCGATGGGGTCCGCGACGGGGCCTGGGGCCCTGGGTCGCCGGGGGCGCGGGCTGCCTCGGGCTCCTCTGCTGCCTCCACCTTGATGCTCTTGGGGGCTGCTGGTGGCTCGCCGGTGCCCCCATTTTGGGGGGCGATTCCATTGGTGGCCTCAGCCACAACCTTCCTGTCCAGTCCTGGCGATGAAGTGGGTGCTAGGCCCAGGTCCTTGGAGGCCAGAGGGCCATGCAGGGCCGGGTGCTGCTGGAAGCTGGCCAGACTGTCTGCAGGGAGACCACAGGGGCCCACATCAGACCTGAGGCAGGACCTGGCTGGGCCAGAGCTGGAGGGGTGAGCCCTGGGAACTGTTTAGGGTAAGGCTGAGATTGGCTCCCACCTGCCTTGTAGACTAAGCACCCCCACCCCACTCCTCAGGGACCTAAGGGGCACTAGTGGCCCCAACTGAGCTCACCTGGGGGCAGCTTGGCAGCTGGGTGTCCAGCCCCTGGCGAGTAGATCTCACCCTTAGAGCCAGGCTGGCAGACCATGTGGTTGGTGACCAGGTGGCTGTAGAGGATGTCCCTTGTGGTGGAAATGAAGCCACAGCTGTGACAAACACCTGTGGGCCATGCTGTGGTCAGGGCCCTCGGGCCAAGGGTGTGGCCCACAGACCCCTCTGCCCGGCCTGCCCACCTACCGCTCAGCGTGTCTGTGTGCACCTTGAGGTGCCGCTCACAGTTGGCCTTGGTGGTGAAGGCCGACAGGCAGATCAGGCACACGAATGGCCGCTCCCCTGGAAAACGGGCAAGTAAGGGCCAGCTCCAGAGCCTGGCCTGGTCTTGGGCTTCACGACCAGGAAGGCGGGTGCTGGACCCAGGCCTTGATCTGTGTGGGGCTGTGTGTGGGCTTCTTGTCTCTCAGCCCCAAGCTGACCATCCAGACAGCTGTAGGTGGGTGTCTGCTCTGGACACCATGGGAAGACCACATGGGCTCAGTCAGCAATTTGGCTCTCCTGGGCAGTATGCCATATTTGCCCCCAGTGTGCAGGGCCAGGTGGGGTGTGGATGTGGGTGGGTGTGCATGGGGGACTCACCGCTGTGACTGCGCATATGAATCTCCAGGGAGCTGGCACTGGGGCAGCTTTTTCGGCATTGTGGGAAGGGGCAGATGCGCTCATTGGGGTAGGTCTCCTTGGGCTTCTCATCCATGGCTGCCGTGGCCGGGGAGCCAGTGCTCTGGCGGCTGGCACAGTAGTACAGGAGGTGGGCCTGCAGGTTGCGCTCGCTCCGATACCAGATGCCGCAGTCCTTGCAGGGAAAAACGTCTTCTGTGGGGTGAGAGGTGGGTGTGGCTGAGGGGCATGGGTGGCAGGGAGCAGCCCACCACCCATTTTGAGGCTGCAGCCTCTTGTAGAGTGAAGGCCTTGTCCTGACTGACCACAGGTACTGGCCAGCCATGTTACATCTCCTCCTTTCATGACCCTGTGCCCACTTTGGGGGACCTTTGAGTGGCCTCTTAGGGAGCTCCTTCTGACATTGGGTCCTGTGAGGAGGGGACCTCAGGGGGCCCCAGGAAAGAGTGTGCATGTGCTAGTGGACCATGCCAGGGTGAGGCTGGGCACCCACAATATGGCTGGGTGGCCGTGTATAGGCAAGGGCAGTGGGTGTGCACACCCAATGGACCTGGGAGGCCATGGACAAGGAACCATGTGTGCACAGGTGTTTGAGGTGACAGCAGCACAGTAGCTGACATGCACAGTCACAAGCACTCAGCCACAAGAATGACAGAATGTGGCCTTGGGGGTGGTAAAGCCCAGAGCCCTACCCCCCACTCCATACGTGGGCCGCTCTGTGTCAGTTACTGATGATGTCAAATGTGGGGAATTTGCCAAGTTTACCCCTAAATGGGCTGCTTGTAACTTCTCAGATTTGGGGGGCTTAGACTGCTTGGGGTGGTCAGACCCTCTGGCAAGGATTTTTTTCTAAGAGGTGCTTGAGCAGGCTTCTGTCCTCAGCGTCTTTAAGGCAGGATTTTAAGGAATGTTCTGTTTGTCTTGCCCCAGATCCCTGCTCGGTCAGCGCCCTTGGCTGAAGACCTTGACCTTGGTATGGAACCAGGGGCCCTGGGATCCCTTATCTGGCTTCTGAGCTGGTGCATTTAGAGAACACGTAATATCTGGTTTCTTGCCCAGCTTCTCTGATGTCTGTCCTGAGCCCGTGTTATCTCAGAGGCAGTGGGCCTCTCCTTGCACCCCTTCCCTTGGTGGCCAGTTTTCCATCTTTTGCCTCTTAAGGAATTTAAGCATCTGTCTGTAGCAGAGCCTCTTCCTTCTGGTTTTTCAGGCAATTTTCTGGCTCAGCTTTCCTTCCTATCAAGTTGTTTCTGTTTCTCAAGTTCCCCTTTAGTGGGCCCTCAGTCTCTCCTCATTGCACGGAGGCCTTGAGTGGGGACCCAGCATCTGAGAGGCTGGTGGTCCATTTGCTTTGGTGTCTGTGAAGTCCCTGCAGAGAGCTGTGCTGCCAGCTGGGGTGTGGGGAGAGGTGGCCTGGACTCTTAGCTGGGATGGTCACCTGACCATGAGCTGTCCTGGGCAGTACAGGTCCTTGGAACCTGCATCAATACCTTGAGGCTGGCACTGCCCTGTGCTCCTTGCAGTGGAGATAGGCCCAGAATTAAGCTGGCTCACATGGCTTGCCCAGAGCACTGGCTGGGCAGAGGCCTGGGCCCCTTGGCTGCAGCAGTATGAACACAGTATCTAGCTCTCTGAGGTTCCTCTCCAGGGAATGTTACTGGGACCTGATGTTACCTTAGACCCCAGAGGAGGAAACCCAGGTCTAGGGAAACTATAGCTACCCATTGGAGCAGCCAGCTGTCAGCCTCCAGGGCTGTAGAGGACCTGAGGCCCTCCCTGGCACACTGTCCCTGGTGAGCCTCCATTGTCACTGCCAGCTCTTGCCCTGGAGTCAGGTCTCCCAGGCACCCATAAGACCAGTGGTGGCACATCCCAGACCTGCCCAATGAGAAGGTGTGCTGGCCTGAGAGAGTCCTTTCTTGCCTCCCTCCCAACTCTGTGTTCCTTCATGTCCTTTGCTCCCAGAAAAGGACAGGACCAGCCAGGACCCCCATAAAACTGCTTTTCTTCTGTGTTTCTTCCTCCCCCAGCCTTTCACCAGTGCACAACACAGCCACCGTGGCCAAATACCAGACCCACCAGCCCCAGCCTCTAACCACTGGGTTCTGTGTGCCCTCTGCACGCTTTCACTGCTAACCCACTTGGCTGCAGTGTTCCTGGTGGGGCCACAGTGACCACCATGTTGCCAAGCCCAGTGGTCACATTTCAGCCCTTAGTTTTGCCACTGCCTGGACAAGGCAGACCCCAGCCCATTCCTCTCCTTGGGCCCTCACTGTTTGGATGCTTTCGCAGGCGTCTTGCTCTCTGTCTGTGTGGAGTGCTCCTCCCCTACACCAGGTCCAGAGGCCCCATCCAGCTCTGGCCACAGCCCTGGGCTCCATCCCATGTCCCTCAGTGGACTCTGTGGTTGGGGCTCAGAATGTCCAGTGGGGGGCTTCTCCCCCAGACTCCTCAGAGGGGGAGCGACTGCTGTCCTGGGTGACAACGCCTTAGCCCCAGCCTCATGCTTGCTTCCTCTCTGTTCCCAGCTGCCTTGGCCTGCTTCAAGTGCCCCCAAGTCAATTTTATCCAGTTTTGTAACCCTATAGTGACCACTAAACAGATGGAGGTTTTAAAACACACAGGGGTCTTACTTCCCCCCTTCCAAGTCCTGGGGTGATGTTTATGTCCTCTGAGGGGTCTGAGCCCTCACATTCCCCTGTGGTCCCACAGTAGTCTCCAGGTGACCCCCATGTGGGCCTCAGCCTCACCATGGGTTCCCCAGAGTGCTTGCCCCAGTCTCTTATCAGGACAGCTCCCATCAGCTATACCCGCATGTTGCCTTTGTGGGGTGGGCGGCTCCCCCACCTTGGTGAGGCCCTGTTTGCTCCTGGAGGGTGGCTCCCTAGGGCAGGCCCACGTCCCAGCATCGGGTGTGTAGTGGATGGTACATAAGTACTGTGGGTTAGCCAATCCCACTTCTCATGGCCACATTCTGAGGTTTGGAGAGCTGTTGGCAGTGGGTTCTCCACTAGGGGGCTTTGTCCCCCAGGGACATGTGGCTGAGACAGCTGTCACAGCTGTCAATGGGCGTGGTATGGCATCTAGGGGCTGAGGCCAGAGGTGCTATATGACACCCTGTGTGCACAGGACGGCTATTGCAGGGTCACCCAGGCGCCAGTAGACTGGGGCCTGCTCTGCTCCAAGCCCGCAATGTCTGCTTCCTCTCTTCGAGTAGGGGCTCAGGCCTTCTGGTTGGGCATGATGGTTGGACAGAGTCAGATCTGTGTCTCAAGCCCACCAGCCTGCGTGGGCCTTTTCCCATGGTGTGACTAGGCTCCAAGACCCCCTGGTCTCTGCAGAGCTAACTCCTTGCAGCCTGGCCGTCGGCCCCTGTGGTCACTCAGGGTTACCACATGACTGTCCCTGTGCTTTCCCCTTGGTGTCATCAGCCTGGAGCCCCCTTGGAGGATACTCTCAGGCCCCTGCAGCACATCTCTACCCCACCAGCACTTCTTTGGTTTAGTAGTCCAGAGCCTGGCAGTGACAGGGCTTTGTGGGTCTTTGGCCTCTGGATGTGGATGGCACTGCAGCCCTGTGGCTGGGGCGGGGCCGTCAGGGACAGGGAGGTGCACTCACTGTTGACGATGGCTGTGGCAAGGATAGACGCCATCCCAGCTTGCTGGGGCAAGAGCTGGATGTCGCTGTGCACAGGGGCCGGGCATGCAGGCTCTGCTGGCTCCTCCTTCACAGGGTGGTTGGGGCTGCTGCAGGGCTCAGCTGTGAGGAGCACACTCAGGAGTCCACCTGCGGGCACTGGCTTGGTGACCCTGCACCAGAGGGTGTCATCTAGGGGGACACAGGCATCCCTGACTCTAGGACCAGTGCTGCTGGGCTTGGCACCGCCAGCTCCCCCCCATCTTAAAGATGCATCACATCTTTAGATGTGGCCTGTTGTCATTTGGTCCTGGTGGGACCCCTGAGAGCATTTTCCAGGAAGGGTGACGAGGAGGATGTGTCCCAGGGAAGAGGCTGGACTGGCTAGGGATCCCAAGTTGGTCAAGCATGGCTGTTCCTGTGGCAGCCTGCAGGGGGCAGCCTTGGCCAGCAAAACCCAGGCCATGAGGGCTGCTGGTCCACCTCTCCTGGGAGTGGTGGGTGGGCCGGGGCAGCAGGCCTTAAGCCAGAGCTGGCCACTGCCCTGAGGACAGGCTTCACTGGCAGGTGGACCCTGGCTACATGAGGGCCTTGTGGGTCACCTGGGAACAGCACCAGGAGCAGTGTCATCTCACTAGCATTGCAATCCAAGAACCCTGTCCTTTCTGGATGAGAACACTTGGCTGGAGCCTTGGTGACCAGGCCTGCAGGAAGGGCAGTGCTAACTGGCCCACATTCTGGCTGGGCGTGCTAACCCATGCTGGCCGCGTGCAGCCTGCGCCTGGCCCTCGAGTGCTCTCCTCCCAGCCTCTGGGTCAGTGGGGTGGGGGATCCAAGAAGCCCTCTGCCTTGGGGAGAGACCCTAACCTAGGTCCCATGGATCTCCACTCTGCACACCTGTCACCTGGGAGGCTGAGAGAGGGTTATTCACAGGATGGCCCCTGTCCCTGCCCTCCACTCCCAGTGGGCTTTGGCTCTGACAGAGCTTTGCCTCTACTGGCAAAAACGGGCCCTGTGGTGGGTGTGGGCACGCGTGCGTGGCCCTCCCAGTGACTCCCTTGCATGGGTGGCCCCTGTGTGCCTGCAGAAGTCTGATGCTATCTACATCCTCCCCTATGGCCTAGGCCACCTCATCTGTAAGGAGAGGTCCCCCAGCCCAGACCCCAAGAGTCCCAGGAGCTGGGAAGGCTGCATCTCAGTCTTCTCGGGGGTAGGGCTTCCAGGGCAGGACTAAGGTGTCCATGTAGCTGAGGGGTGCAGGCTCCCTCTGAGAGGGAGACCCCCCAGCAGGTGGGGGAGGCAGAGGGCATTGGACCCATTTTCCAGATATAGAAACAGACCCCAGAAGGTGAAGGACTTGCTGGTAAGGGGCACTGCTGGGCTCAAACATCATCCTACTGATGGTTCCTGGGCCCAGCTGGACCATGGGGCCCTGGTCCATAGCCACCTGGACCTCAGGTCCCTGCCACTGGCCCTGTGGTCTCCTAGAGGCCCTAAGGCAGTCATAGGCTGGCTGGGAGGAGGTGTGGGGGTGACTGTGCTCCCAGCAGGGCAAACGTCTGGCCTAGCCTAGCCTGCCAGGGTAGGGGTGCCTCCGTTAAGTGGGTTTGTGGCCTTGGATTGTCTGTCCTGGGAGAGGGACTGCCTTGGGTCCTTTGCCCAGCCCCAGATGGGTGTTTACCAGCCACTAGAGATGGTGGCTCTGATGGCTAGGCTATGCTGCCCCCTGCCCTCAGCCCATGCAGGCTGGTTTCCTTTAAGGGAAAAGAAGCCGCGGCCCCCACCTTCCTGAAGGTTGTGGGAGGGGCAGCGCCAAGTGATACTGACCTTTCCTGTAGATCTCCAAGTTGGCTTCAGCCTGGGTCAGGGCCTGGGGCAGCATCCGTAGCCAGCAGGCCTCATCCACCAGCAGCAGGGTCAGGGATGGGCTCTGGGGGCAGGAATGTGGGGATGTCAATCACATAGGAAGGTGTGGCTGGGGGCTTCTGCAGCACGTGGGGACACAGAGGCCCAGCAGGGCATGCACCCTCCATGGCTGGGTGCTGGGTTCCTTTGGAAATAGGCCCAGAAAGGTCAGCAGTGTCCCAAGGTCATATAGCCAGTGGGTGGCAGAGTTTGACTCACACCCAGATCTGTGTTCTCTCCCTTCCTAGGTGCCTACCCAGCCTGGGGGGCTGTAGTCCTCACATGTGTGGGCTGGACTGGACATAGACCCTCTACACAGCCCTGATGGCCCCTCTGTAGATGGACTTTGTTTCCCCCAGGCCAGGTGTCCACCCCTTCCTGGTGCCAGGCAATGCAGGGTTGCCTGTGTCCCTGTCCATTCCCAGGATCAGCACATGGCATGCCCTGAACACCAGCCCAGGCTCAGCAGCACGCTGTCCCCACCCTGAGACTGGCTCAGCACCATCCCCTCCCCATGGGCCTCAAGGACCAGCTCCCTGGCCTCACAGTCACCCTGGAGAGCAGGCAGTGTCCACTGCCTCATCTCATAGGCAAGGAAATTGAGGCACAGCAGGAGAGAGAGAGGGTGCTGGCACTGCTTCAGGCCCGGCTGTGTTGTTCCTCTGGGGCTTAGGCTGAGAGCCTGGAAGGGAAGCACCCCTAGGCTGGGCCCTTGCAGACGGCCTCACTTCCTGCTGCCCCTCCAGCCCTGGTCCCCAGCATGGCAGCAGAGGAAACACACATGGCCCCTGTCCCGATGCTGCCTGGTGCAGGAGGGTTGGGAAGGGGCGGGGTGGTCTGCCTGAGTTAGAGGTATAGGGGACAAGGCACAGACCCATGGCAGGGGGAGGAAGGCAGCTGGGGCAGAAGTCTGGCCTTGCCTTGCCGCTGTAGGTTGGGGTAACTGTGATGTGAGCCTCAGTTGCCTCCTAAGTCCCAACACCTGACCTGAGTTCTGCGCCTGTTGCCTGCATGGTGGTCACCAACCTGAACCACCTAGGTGCCATATCCAGAGGTATGCAAATGTCCGTGCTCAAATATTTTTCTGTAAACCTACTCACTTTTGTTCTATACAAATAAATGCCTATTAATCAGAAACTTTGTGCATCATAACTTTTCACTGAAAAACCAGCATCACCTGCTCTCACCTGGAAATGACACCTGCATGGGACAGTTTTGTGTATCCCTGTGATAAGGTGAGCAGTTGGTGGCTGCTGCCATGCTAGGAAGGAGAAGCTGGGCTGGCAACAGAGTGCAGGTACTGTGCCTGGCAGGGTGCAGGGCTTCTCCCCTAGGCCCAAGCCCATGAGCTCTACCTAGGCTTTGCCTGTGTGTGTGAGGACCTCATGGAATGCCTAGCCAGGCAGCTGGGTCCAGTTAATTAGCATGGGCTCCTCACTGTGGCCTGGGGTAGGGCACTGCCCAGACCTGCAGTGGGCACTCTGGACCACCTCTGCTCTTGGACCCTTGCACACAGCAGACTGAGGGGTCCCACAAGATAAGGCCCATGGGCTGGGGACTCCTGGCAAGGTCGGGGCTTCTGCATCACCTGCCTGCAGCCACATGGCTCAGTCATAGAACAGACAGCAAAGATAAGCCAGCCAGTGCTGAGGGAGAGCACTGGCCACAGAGCGGCCCTGCGGTCCCAGCACGAAGCCACTCTAGTCATCAGTTGGGCTTTCTCATCTGGGAGGGGGTGATGTCCTCTCTTGACTTGGCACTGTTTTGAGGATGGAGGTGAGGCCTAAGCCCATGTTCTCTAGGCCCATCCCTGTCCTGCCAGCTCCCATCTCTACGACTTGGTTTCCTCTCAGGATGCTATAAGTGTGACCAGTGTGAAGCCCACCTGTGTGGCAGCACATGGTAAACACTTGTTCCACTGTCCCTTTTGGCCTGGCAGGATGGGTAAGGGTGATGGCTTTGGGCCCAGGAGGGACACACGTGGGCTCTGTTGGGCTGGGCCTGGCCCAGGATAGCAAGTTTAGTTTTGGGTGGGCATCTCCACCAAAGGACCTGCTTTGGGAAGGCTGGGATCAGGCAGGCACTCCTCTTTTCTTTTCATAGACACCCTGGTGATTTTCATGGCAGGGATGGGCTCCCTGCTGGCTCAGATGGGGCGTCTGGTACAGTCACAGGGGTGGGCAGGGGCCTGGCACAAAGAGGGTGACCAGCGGCTCCCGCATCCCTGCCACACCCAAGTTGGGCAGGCAGCTCTCCACAGGCGGCTGGGGCCTGCCCTCCCTCCAGGCCCTTCCTGAGTATCTAATGAATATTAATGAGTGGAGGAGGGTGAGAAAAATTAATCTGCCTGATCCTCTGATGGGTGCTGCGGTAACGATATGAAATCTAATTATTCGTCCCAATATTTCTAAACCCTCAAACTGAGACTGACAGCCTCCCGGTTGGTTTCATGCTTATCACCCTCGGAAGCAGCATGTTCACAGCATGATAAAAACACACACACACAACTTTGCTGACGCTGCACAAGCCCCGGCCTTCCTGGGGAGGTTCCTGGCGCAGGGAGGGCGCCATGTTCCTGGCCAGTCCGGGCGACCCACCAACAGCACCCCAAAAGGGTACCAATGTGGTACCTGTGCCAGCTGAAGGGGGGTGCCTGGCTGGCTGTGTCCCATGGGGGTGGGGGCCCTCATCCCAAACTATGATGCAGGTCAGGGGATCAAGGCTGTGAGGCTGACCACTCGGGCCTTCCCAGCTGCATTCCATTCACAACCAGGTACCCCCACTTTTCTGAGGATAGGCTAGGGGATTCCCTGCGAGTCTGCCCTTGGCCCCTTGGGATGTGGGGACAGTGGCTCCCTGGGGAGAGGCTTGAGCAGCCACCCAACCCACAGGTGGCCAATGACCAGCTAGCCCTGAGCTGGCTTCTCGCCTGGGCCAGCTAGCTGGACCCCTGAGGTCAGCCTACGGCCACCTGTCTGCCTGTCCCGGAAGCTGCTGCTGGTGCCTGGGCCTGGGGACCCTGGGGGCCCGAGGACAACGCCAGGTCAAGAAGCAGATGTCACTGCTTCTCCTGCAGGGCTGACGCAGCAAGGGCTGCCCGTTTATTTGGTTTTCTTTGTCTCATAGTCTTTTCCCTTTTCCTGACAGCTGGGGACAGCCTTCTCCTGGAGGTTGCAGGCACCAGCCCAGGGCTCCCTGACCCTACCCATGGGCTGCAGGGTGCCAGGAGGGCACCTCTTCTTCCCTTCCCACTTGGCCCTCCTGCCAACTCCCACGGATGTCTCAGCCTGTGCTCTGCACCAAGTCAGTCAGGTGTGTCTTGGGTCTGCAAGGGGCCCCGAGCCTGCCCTGCCACTGCCCCTCAGGTTGCCTGGCCCCCCTCCTGGGTCTCCAGCCAGCCCTACTCGGCCCCAGGATAACGGGCAGCCACTTAAACTCTCTAGGTGGATCTGAGAATGCTCCTTGTTCCCCCCAACAAAGGGGTCAGTGTCTCGATTCTGCACTCACACGATAACCATCGGCTGCACTCGCACTGCATTCACTGTGGCAGCTTATCGGAGGCTGCTCCCAAAGTCACACTGCATCTCACGAAGGGGCTGGAGGGGGGCCTCCCCCTGTCACTGAGGGCAGAGAAGCCAGGGACAGGTTTACAGGGTTGGGGCTGAGGCTACAGCAGCGAGGGTGGCTCTGATGGGGTACCTGTCCTCCATCCCCCTGCCCACCTTCAGGAGAGGTGATGGCTGGGCCTTGGCACCTCTGCCACCCCAGACCCTGTGAGGAGCCACTTCACAGGTGGGGGCACTGAGGCCCACAGGGCTGGCTGGGCGGGCAGCAGCCCAGGTCTGTGGGACCTCCCTTGGCCCTACAGCCGTCATCCACTCCCTCATTGTGTGCCCCTTCATTCATTCTGCATGCAGCCCCTGAGGGCCACCCACGCGCCAGGTGCCAGGGACATCTGGGCAGGACCAAGTCTCCCAGACTTGTAGGGAGGCCAACAAGAGATAGCTGGTGGATGTTGCGAGGGAGAAGTGACAGAGAGACAGGGATGGGTGGAGACAGGCATGAGGCTGGGAGGGATGGGGACAGTGAGAGATAAGGGACATGGGCAGTGAGGGACAGGGGATGGTGAAGGCCATGGGATGGTGAGAAACAGGGACAGTGCAGGATGGGGACAGTGAAAGACAGTGAGGGATGGAATAGTGGGACATGGGACAGGGAGGGCAGGGTCCGGCAGTGTGACTGAGCTCTCTCTGCCCCTTGGGAGACAGCCTGGTGCTCTCCTGCCTCCCCACAGGCAGTGAGATACAGGGACCCTGGAAAGTGGCTAGTCCTACTCTGGCTTACAGGGGCAGAGTTGCCAGGACTCAAGGAGAAGCTTCTCTCAGCTCTGAGCTGGGTCCTTCTGGGGTGTTGGGAGGGGTCCCAGAGCCCACCAAGCCATCAGTGCCTCACAGACCCTGGAGCACTTTCCCAGCTCCTACTGCAGGCAGGGAAACTGAGGCATGGAGAGGAAGGGTGCCCAGAGGCTCGGAAAAGCCAGCAGCAGGCCTTTTGAGTACCCACCAGCCTCAGGGCACCTCAGGCTACCCTCCTCCCCTGCCTGCTCCAACTGAGGCCAAACCTGGCCATCTGCTCAGGGCCACCCTGTGGAGGGCCAGGGTCCCACCCATGGAGCCCCAGCTGTGCTGGTCCTGTGGCGTGAGCTGCATAGTGGCCCCTAAGAGGCCCACTTGGAACCTGTGAATGTGACCTTATTTGCACAAAGGGTTTTTGCAGACATGCTAAGTTACAGTTTTTGAGATGAGCTCCTCCTGGATTAGGGTAGGCCCTAAACCCAGAGACTCTTGTCCTTAGAAGGAGGGGATAGGGAGAAGGCCCAGTGAAGACAGAGGTGGGCTGGAGCACTGCATCTATATGCCAAGGATAAGCTAGGACTGCCAGGAACTGGAAGAGGCTGGGAGCAGCCCTGCCCTGCAGACACCTTGACCATCCATCTACTCACTTGAGCCACTTATCATCTACCCAACCACCTACCCACCCACCAACACACCCACCCTCCACCCATCCACATCCATTCATTCACTCACCCATCCGCCCACCCATTGACCCATCCATCCACTTATCCATCCATAACTCACCCGTCCCCCCACCTATTTACCCATCCATCCACTCATCCACCCATCCATCTCCCTACTCACCCACCCATTCACCCATATACCCACCCATTCACTATCCATCCACCCATCCATCCATTCATCTATCCACCCATCCACTCACCCATCCATCCATACACTCACCCATCTAGCCACTCATTCACTCATCTATCCATCTATCTGTCCATCTATCCACTCATCCATCCATCCATCCACCTACCCACCCACACATTCATCCATATACCCACCCATTCACTATCCATCTATCCATCCATCCATCCATCCAATGATCTACCTACCTACCCACCCACCCATTCCCTATCCATCCACTCATCCACCCACCCATTCATCC